AGTGTATATATATATATATATATATATATATCAGAACTGAAAATTAACTATCATAAACCACTGTGGTGGTTCATAATAGAGATCACAGGGAATTGCACAAAGCCCTAATAGAACATTCAGGCAAAAGGCACCTTAAACAGTAAATATTTGGTTTAAACAACACTTTAAAATGTTTACTGTTGACTGCTAAGGCTGTACACATATAAAAATGAATAAAAAATGCATGCACGGTAGACTTACAAGGAAAAGAAAATCTGCTCAAAAGGGCCTGTACGTATTTATTATTATTATTCTCACTAGCAGAAATCCCCACCCTAAGAGTGGGTATAACTGCTAGTTCCTGCTGAAGGCTATTGGGCCTGTGGGCTTTCTTGGAATTGTCTGACAGTTCTACAACAACATACTCATGCTTGAAATTCAATAATGTTCACCATCCACGAGAAAATGGATTTTACTGATATTTTTAGTTTAAAAATGAGCTATCGATGGAGCATTACATCACAGAGTAGATTTGATTGAAGTATTTCTTCGTAGACGCAGTTATCAATGAAAGTGCTTTGCTTTTCTGTTGCAACACTCATGAGATTTTCACTAAAAAAAAACAATAATTTTTTGTTTTATTTTATATTTGAAACTTACTCCTTTTTTTTTTTAATTTTTATTGGTTAAGTCTGAAACATATCATTTTTGTGGAAATTGCAATTGTTTTATTTATTGCTCAGCTATAAAAAGATGTATAGTTATAAAAATATTACCCAGTTATGATTGGTGATGATCGGCGTTGTAATTTGTTTGTTTGTTTTGAATTTCGCGCAAAGCTACACGAGGGCTATCTGCGCTAGCCGTCCCTAATTTAGCAGTGTAAGACTAGAGGGAAGGCAGCTAGTCATCACCACCCACCGCCAACTCTTGGGCTACTCTTTTACCAATGAATAGTGGGATTGACCGTCACATTATAACGCCCCCACGGCTGAAATGGCGAGCATGTTTGGTGGGATGGGGATGCGAACCCACGACCCGCAGATTGCGAGTCGAGCGTCCTAACCACCTGGCCATGCCGGGCCGTGTTGTAATTTCCGAGATCTAAGTTTTGGACGTATACATCGCAAGCTCCATTATAATAAGATTATTCTCTTGCCAGCCTACAACAAAAATGGCTTAGTATATTGCACCCAAACCTTTCGTAGAATACTAAGTAACATAGGGAGATTGAAAGTCAATTTGTTTCTTCTATATTTTACATAAGCTAAAAAACATCATAATTCTAGTGTAAACGATGTTATCATTACCCTTTGGAGTTAGCTTTCTTACAAACATCAGATGTTCCTTGAAAAAGCCAATAACAGATAAACATTAGATGACTGTAACATGCAGACACTCAATGCTTTGCACACTATTCAGTCAGTGTCTTTAGGGAGCTAACCCCTATATTATGCACAAAGTGAAAGAGTAAAAAAAAAATCAATGCAGATAATATTAAATTTTATTACATATATTTATAGAACAATTACTTTAAAAGACATGATGGTTTATTTACAATGATGTTTTAGAAATATGTTTTACTTGAAAAGTCTGCTTTTCTACTGTTAAAATTTTATATGAGCTTAGTGGGGGTTGTGTCTTAGTCTAGGCATATATTTGCCCATTGCTACGCATCGTATATAGAGAATTTAGTTATACAGAAAATATAAATGCTCACTATATTCTCAAACAAATCTCCAGCTGCAGCTTAACATTTAATATCTCAAACTAATGTGATCAAATAGTCAATAGATATCATGAACCACATCAGCTAGCTACTAACTATATCTATTATCATTACAATGTCTAAAGTTAGCTACCACATCAAGTAATCCTTTGCCCATAGTTGAGCATAAAAAAAGCCAACAAACAAGATAAATAAAAAATTGGAAATTTAAAAACCTGCAAATCATGAAAACGTAAGGAAACAAGATTGGAGATACTGCAGACATTATTCACTCAAACTAC